TTCAGACATGCGCCTGAAGTAGCGAGGGAGTTGGAAGTTCCTTCTGAGTTTTCATTTCAATCTGCCATGATGTCTAAACGCCAAAATTGGATGGCAAGTTTCTTCGTTATTGTTTTTTTTTTTTTATTTTTAATTATGCATATTTGATTACTGGGTTTTTTAAATTCCCTTGAGAACATAGGGAGAGTGAAAGAAGACTATTAACCTGGTGTAATTAGTTCCGACCGCCTATATAAAATGTTGTTCTAGGGCAAGCCAGAAATTTCCTCTTTTTTTTTTTTTTTTTGGGGGGGGGGGAATCTGGAGGCAGTTCAACTTTCTGGAATTGCATGTCATTTTACTGAAGAGCGTATTAAGATTCTTAAAGGAAGATTTTCTTTTACTCATTCAATCCTTAATGTAAGACCTAATTAACTAATTTGATTAGATTAATGATGTCAGTTAAATTAGTTAATATGATATATATATATTTTTAAAACACTTTAAACATTCCTCAATTCCCTCCCTCCCTCCCTCCCTCCTCGACTTGATTATTGTTGGAGAAACATTAATAGGGTTAATTTGGGAAAAAACTGATAAACATGTGAAATAAATCCTATATATAGGAATATCATCAACTTCCTAATTAGATCCTACATTAAGGACTGGAGGAGTATCATTATTTTAACAAATACTTGATTGTTTACGTTAGTAACAGAACTCTGAAGGGGCTCCCTTCAGCGGACTGTTGATTAGTCAGTATTTGTCATCATTCCTTCACCTGACTTTTAGAATTATGTTTTTATCATATATTAAAACCACCGTTATTTTATTCTTTTCTTTTTGATAGTGATATTTTCCTCGGGCTAGTGTGTTAATGGTGTGGCAATTTTGTTGCAGGTGATCTTTCCTGTTTCTTTTCTCTTTTCAAATAGCCTGAAGTTCCCTGCTAAAGGGGATGATATATTGGAGAAGTATGAATTTTCCCCAAGTTGTCTGTTCAGAAGTCTTATTCTAACTCTACAAAGGGACTGAAGAGAGTTTACTTGGAGCTTTCTTTAGGGTGAGTGGAGTATGTTAATTACTTCTGTGAAGTTAAAACCGCAGACGCACAATTTTTTTAGTGTTCTGTGTGCTTTCCTGTTGTTTTCTTTCTTAGTGCGTTTACTTAAAAATCATTCTGGTAAAAAAAAAGTAATGAAAATCATTATGATGATTTCTCAATCGCATGAGAACATACATGTTGTGGTTGTTAATATAGAATAAAATCAATAGCTTAGAAGTACTAATTATATCAAGGGTATACTGTTGGTTGGATTATTGGTCTCCTTTTTATTTCTTTGTTGGGTGATCCTCCTGAGCTAGTGCTTGTTACCTGGGATATACTTTCTTGTTCTTATTGGGAAATAAGCTGTGATCGTCTTCTGGGTTTGGAATCCATTTCTGGATTGGTTTCGGGCACAAAAAGAAGAAAAAAAATTGAAGTTGAAAGATTAATGCATGATCATCTTCTTCAGCAATCACAGGATAAGGGTACGTGTTTGGATGAGACAAAATGGAGGGGAACGAAAAGAAAGGGAAAGCTTTATTGAAATCTTCCTCTTGTCTGGGAGGCAATTAGGGAGGGGAGGATAATAAACGATTTTCAGATTATACCTCCAAACCTAAATACATCCAAAGCTGCCTTCTTTTATGTTATAAAGTCCTCTGATACAGATTTTGGTCGAGAAAGTTCTCTCAGACAAGGGAAAGGAAATTTATTTTTTAACTGTTCCTTCACTGCACTCCCTTTTTCTTGGTGGAGATGGTTTTTTTCTGAAACCAGTGAATGTCTTGCTAGCCATGTTCTCGCTGCACTTCTATTATCCTAATCTAACAGCTGGCTGTTCATTGTACCTTTTGAATCGAAATGGTTCCAAGGAAAAAGTTTCATGGATAGACCCCTGAGGTCTTTCCATACCTACCATACCTACATTAGCCTAGGATTTATGCATCTGACTGGATCTATCTTCCTTCCAGCTCCTTAGAAGAGGTCTGGGTTGCTGTTCTCAATATAACTGGTCCTTTATCCAGTTGGTCATTTGCTGATAATGTTCTTCCAGGTATGAAAAATTGTACTACTTCCTCCACTTTGGTTTTGATTTGATAATGTCTTTTCATTGTATAACATATAGTCTACAAAAATTCACAGTAACCGAAACAACTGATAGCGGTCCACCTTCATATATATTGCGACTTAGCGGAGCCAGCGACGAGGATTGGAACTTCTGGTTAGAGGTAGGATTTGATGCTGCTTCTTAATTTTAAGTAGTAGAGTTTGATGCTTCAATAAGTCCCTTGGATGGCATTTGATACTTGATCATGCTGATTTCAATTTGACAAGCCTCAGGATAAAACTCACATTGCTTAACTTGTATCTTGGTAATATCAGGCTAATAACTCTCAAGCATTAAGAGTGGACCTTGCCGTATTAGACCAAAAACTGGCTGAACCAGCAAAGAAATTGAAGGGTCTTTTCCCAGAGTGGGTTGATGTTCTTGCCTATTCCAGTTTTTTGTCAAGTTATATATTTTAATTCTTTAATATTTAGGCAAGCCCTATATCATTATGTGTACTATTGGCATCAGAGCTGTTTGGAGATCAGCTTTGTATACGGTGATGAATCATAATCTTGTAAAGGGTACGAATTGTGAAATTCACCCGTTTGCCCTTACTCTGTTCCAACTTACGTTCCCCCCCCCCCCTGCCATTTTGTGGAAAGGTGTCGCTCTTAAGGGTTAGATGCACCCATAAAGGTTTGATTATGTGAGATTTAACATGTAAACAATATAGGTTTACATAAGCTACGTTTCTAGACATGTTTTATTGAATTTCAATGAGAAGTTACTTTATTTTCGTAACTATTTATTTCATAAATCTAAAAATATTCAAATGGAAAGGGAATGTTGGATTTAAATTTGAATAAAATGTTTAAAATAAAATTTATCTGTTTTCTTCCTTCTTTTTTCCCTCCTTGCATTCTCTTCAATCTAAATGTACGTCTTAAGGCATCTTGATTGATTATTGAGGTCATTGAAAAAAACTAGGGAAAAACAGTTTTAGCTGGATGCAAATACTTTGTGCAGAGCAGAAGCTGCGCGAGCGCACGCATACAGACCCCAACACTGCAAGAGTTGGCGAAAGGGAGTGGTTTTGATGGGCCAAATAATGGAAGCATGTTTCAGCAAATTTTGCTTGTGATCTGCTTGGATGGAAAGAAAAGTTGGGAGAGAAGAAAATGGGAGGAGAGAAAATAGAGAAGGAAAAACTAGAGGAAAAATGTTATCATTCCTCTTGCTTAGATATATGAGAGAAAATACAGAGAGAAGAAAATTAATAAATATCTAAATGACTAAAATATTATTATCAAATATATCATATTTAAAATTAAATTAAATTAAATATTGTGATAGAAAGATTATACTAACATTGGCATCATCAAATAATTAAAATCAAGTTATTTGGTTGATATACATTTTCAGATTATTATATTTTAAAGCCAAATTATTTAATAAAAATATTGTTTTAAGATAAAAAAATAAAAAATGAATAAATTTTTAAATATAATAAAAGAAAATAAATATGAAAAGTAAGAGATAGTAGGTGTAGTTATGAAAATCTTGTTTTCCTTTCCAAATCTCTCTATATATGGAGAGAAAATTTGAAAAGAAAATGAGGCATAGGACCCATCTTATTTTCTCCCCCACTTCCTTCCTCCCACATTTTCTCTCCTACCCAAGCAAGAAAAAAGTTGTTTCCCCTCATGTTTTCTTCTCTTGTTTTCTTTCCTCCCTAATTTTCCCTCAATCCAAGCAGGGGGTTCATTTCTTTATACTCCGGCAATTGTCTTTTTGAAAATGTGTAAACTGTAAAGGAGGATGCAAAGCTCTTTTAAAATATGCTTACAGGTTTACCTCGTTGGAAAAAATAGAAAAATTACTATAAGATCTCAAGCAAAGGAGATAATTACCAAAAAGACTTAAACTTATCATTATAAAATTGTTCTATTGTCACTAGGATCTTTTAATAATGTTTTTTCTTTGGGACTTCATAGCTATTCTCCCTTTAAAAATTTTGAGAAAAGTAATTTTTTTTAAAAGAATCTGATCGATTCAATCAAAACCTTTTCCCTTTTTCCGGTTTTAACCAGATTCACTGATTTTTAATTGGCTAACCTCATTCTCTGAATTGGTCCAATGATCAGTTAAAAGGTGTAACCAACCATTAAAGCAGCAAAATCAAAACTAAAAGAAACAAAAATGTTGGATTAACTTATTTTAAGTGATTTTATATTTTACAAATATACACACACACGAGTGGATTTGTCTCATAAAACACCAAAAAGCTTTACTTACTGATGCCCTCCTAGATCACCGGGGATAACCTCCATGTTCACCAGCGAATCGGCATATCCCCTCCTGGCCATGGCTTTCGTATGAGAAAAATAGAATGAAAGGAAGGCGAGAAAATTTTTTAATGAACTCTATTTAAAAAATTAAAAAAATAGGGTTAAAAGCTTTTAATTAATTTTTATTATTCTTTTATCGTACAACTTTTTTTATTAAAATTTTGAAACTTTACTTCTCCAATTTTTTAAATTAAACTTATTAAAAAATTTTCTCCTTTCCATTTCCCCATATATTGAGCAAATAATTCCTTATACTTATTAATTTTGTGAATACTTGTAAAAAAATTTTGGGATAAGTTATGCAAATTAAAAATATCATCCAAAGAAAATTTAATATCTCTGCGTGTTTGTTGCCGCCCGTAGGCTCATGAGAAAAGATTTAAAAATGTCATCCGAAACATTTTATATGTTTGGGCTTCATATTATGGGCCCGGTGGACTAGAGGGCCTTCGTGTGGTATCGTTCATGTTGTGGCTCGAAGCGAACTAGGGTTTCCCATAGTCCTTTCATATAAGAATAACAAATCGCGGTGCAACTTCGTTCTACATACCGAAGGCCATCGGCGAGGCTAGAGAGAAGCTCCCATAATAGACGCCATGGTGAAGATGTTTTTCTTCTATCTCGTTCATTATCTGTTCGTTCTTCATTCCCTCGTTGTGGTTTATTGATATTTCTTTTCTGTTTGTTTTTAATGTATTTTTTAGGTGAAGTACTCAAGGGAGCCGGACAATCCTACCAAGTGTAAGTGCCCTTTTGCTTTCTTAAGCTCATAATATCTGATAATCTTCTATCTTTTAGTTTTAAGCTGTTCGGGCGGGCTTTAATGGAGCTATATGACGATGTATTGTCTGCTTAAGTTCCGCTGTTAGCGATCATTTTCCTTTACCATTAGAGCTGCATTCTTTTGGTGGGGGTTTGGAATATTATGATTTTGAGATGTAGGTTTTTGATTGAATCATTTCATCTGATATGCAATTTTGCTCCGTTTTGCAGCCTGCAAGGCTAGAGGCTCCGACCTCAGAGTCCATTTCAAGGTACTAATCTCTAATTGGTCATTGTCTTATTAACGTTATTTTGAACGAATGTGTATAATTACTGTGCCATTTGTATGCAGGGTTAGTTCTTTTTTGTCATCATTGATCCATTCCAGCTCTCTATTTCCAAATATTGTATTTTTATGAATTACAAGGAGAATGTCTGTCTATTTCTTAACCTTGCACCTTTCCAGTTACAGCATTTTTTTAACATAAATTTTCTGTGAATGAATGTTGCAATGTGTATTATGTTATATTAACTACTGGGCTTTTTCAGATATAGTGCTTGAATTATAATACAACGAAATAATGGAGCTTTTGGAAACAGAATTTCCATTCCTAAGTAAATAGGAAAACCTGATAAAAAAGCAGGGGTCTGGTTTCCGTCATGAGCAGGTCTCTCGTAGATTTCAGGAACAGCATCACCATTGTTATTGGGTGAACCTATGTCTTGTTTGTGGCTGAAGGTTCAGTAAATGATGGAACATCTGCTTTACTTGCACACATCTATGAATCATACTTAACTTTGGTGTGCATACACATAGTTAATAAAGGTGCTGGAACAGACCTTTTTCAACCTTACTTTCATCACGCATGCAGCAGTTTTTTGTTCTTCCCAAAAAACTTATTTGAATGAATGTGGCAGCGCGCATTATTGTCTGAATTGAGTGATTTTCCACCAAACAGTTATACTTTTAAGTTCAACTCAATGTGATAAATGAGCTTTAGTCCATTTGCTAGAAGCCTATTGCTAGGGAATTAGGTAAACCTGATAAAAAAAAGCAGGGGTCTGGTCTCCTTTATGAGCAGGTCTCTCGTAGATTTCAGGGATATCATCGCCATTGTTATTGGGTGAACCAATGTCTTGTTTGTGGCTTAAGGTTCAGTAAATGATGGAACATCTGCTTTACGCCCACCCTTCTATGAATCATATTTAACTTTGGTATCCATACACGTAGTTAGGCCTTTTTCAACTTGCATTCTTCATGCATCCAGCAATTTTTTATCCAGAACTTTTCTCTAAATGATTGTTACAGTGTGTATTACGTTGTCTGAATTACTGAGTGAGTTTTTACCAAACAGTTATGGTTTAAGTGCAATTCAATGAAATAATGGAGCTTTAATGCATTTGCTGGAAGCCTATTATTAAGGAGATAGGTAAACCTGATTAAAAAAGCAGGGGTCTGATTTCCTTTATGAGCAGGTCCCTCGTAGATTTCAGGGACATCATCACCATTGTTATTGGGTGAACCTGTGTCTTGTTCGTGGCTGAAGGTTCAGTAAATGATGGAACATTGCTTTACTTGCATACACCCGCAAGTCATATCTAAATTTAGTAACTATAAAGATCCCAAAATACCTTCTTTTTTTTTTTTTAACCAGGAGAAATGTCTTTTGTGAATGAATGGCATGATGCGTATAATTTCATATTAATAAATTATTAGGATTATTTTGTTAGCACGAGACAGTACCAGCCTTGATAAAGGTGTACTGTTTGGAAGCTAGGAAATAGGGAAAACCTGATGAAAAAAGCAGGGATTTGTCATATTTTATGAGCAGGTCTCTCGTAAACTTCAGGGACATCATTTCCATTGTTATTGGGTGAACCTCTGTATCTTGTTTATGACTGAAGGTTCAGTAAATGATGGAACATGTATGATAGTTGCATATATTTATTTATGAAAATATGCTTGTAAACTTGTGGTCCTTTTATATTTGCTTACTGTGACTTTTGAATTTTCTAATGGTTTATTGGCTTTTTGATGTCTACAGAATACTCGAGAGACTGCCTTTGCCATCAGGAAGTTACCCTTGGCAAAGGCTAAGAGGTACTTGGAGGATGTTCTAGCACACAAACAAGCCATTCCATTCCGAAGGTTTTGTGGTGGAGTTGGTAGGACAGCTCAGGCTAAGAATAGACATTCTAATGGGCAAGGGCGTTGGCCTGTTAAATCAGCTAAATTCATTCTAGACTTGCTTAAGAATGCTGAGAGTAATGCTGAAGTACGTCATATGATTATCTGGTTGCTTCCTATTGGTGTTAAATGTTTACCACATTTTTAACTTCTTACTGCTTTCTTCCAGGTGAAAGGTTTGGATGTCGATGCCCTCTATATTTCACATATCCAGGTTAATCAAGCACAGAAGCAGAGACGCCGCACCTACCGAGCTCACGGAAGGATCAACCGTATGTCAGAAATCTTGAGATCTTAGTGTCAACATTACTGTGTGCTTTTATTGATTTTGAATCTCTTTTTGGCAGCTTATATGTCATCTCCCTGCCATATTGAGCTTATTTTATCTGAGAAGGAAGAACCTGTGAGGAAGGAGGTATTGATTGTTAATATGGTTATTGTCTTGTTTTCCCCTTCACATCACCTGTCTAACATGGATGCATTGTTGGTCTTGCAGCCCGAGACCCAGTTGGCCACAAGCAAGAAAGCCTAAGCCCTTCGAAGCGGCCCTTCATCTTAAATTGCCTGTGTAACATCTGATCGAAGACCCAATATTTTTAGAGTTTATTGAGAATTTTGTTGCTCTTTAGTTATCACATTGGTATGAGTTCTTCCTAGCTTGATCAAGTATGTTTTCTTTTATACGATGTTTAATCAAATTTGGTTTTCTTTCTCGGATAACTTTATCGTCCATGTGTTTGGCTGGTTTCAACTTTCACCTCAAATTCGAGTTCTTGTTAGCCACATCTAGCAAGTATAAAAGATTTAGCTCGCTGCGATATGTCCAATTCAAGTTGATAATCGATCGAATCTTTTTTTTTTTGACCGAAGGGGATCGAGTCTTCTAATTGAACTATCAAGATTTGGAAGAGAGTAGGTGGAAGCTGGGTCTTGAACTGAAGACAAAATGTTTTGTTTGGGCATGAGAACTGAAAGCCAAGTTTGATTGTTCCTTCGAAATCTTAATTTGATTTTAATTTATTTTACATGTTTTTGAAAATTGATCGACATGGTTGTAACTCGACAAGATTTAAGGTTGGGATTCATGCAAAACTTTGACTGGCAGTTGTCCTTGAGTCGTATCAAGCTTCAGTTGAGAGTTAAAACTCGACTGAAAAAGATTGGAGGGCAGAATCGGTGAAATTCGAAAAGATGAAAATTGAACGTGTATAACTTACTTTTATGGGAAACGGGGGCCTCGTCCGTTCCTGGTCTAAACTTTTTATGCAATTATTACGATTGTTATGTGCATGAGAGAGGGAGATGAGCTGTGATATGAAAAATGTGTGAAATATTTTTGCTAATGTTCTTGTTATCCTACTCCTCCCCACCTCGTGGCAATTACTATGGCAGCCAAATCAACGTGTCTTGAAAAGTTAACCAAATCTAATATTTCAATCACTATCATGGACTGAGCATCACCCAAGTTCAAAACACAGCCTGGGCAAATCTCTTTGGCATGCGGCTGCTCTATCTTGTTGGGATCAGGCTCCGCCTGTACCGTATTCGAATTGGCCTGACAGAAATGAAAAATTCCAAATGCTCACAACAATCCTCCTCCTCGACCTTCCACATTCTACCACACCATCGAGGATCCGTTTACAACTAGCATACTAAAATTTTATAAATGTATCAGGTAGGAGTAGATGTTGCTATATTTGTTGGTTTGTGAAAATAAGGTGCGTTCACTTTCATCTGCTTCTCACACTCCTCCACTGCCTGCCATTCTATCACACCATGGAATTAGAGCACACAAGGGAACACGCATAATTAGGATTGCCAAATGCTGATGCGAACAATTGCTGCGACATATACATCCATATATATATATATATATATTTAAATAAATAAATCACAAGTTGAGTTAGGTTTTCATAGTTTAGAAGATCTTGTATAATGTCGGAGATAGAAATTCTAGAGGCCCAGAACCTGCCATTGTCAATGTTGAAATTCCTCTGTTCTTGAGTTGACACTGCCTTTTTTCGTCCCTTGTATCAGGTGCGACGCCTCGTTTCTTTCGTGCTAACATGAAGGCAGCCAATTTTGGATAGCATTTTTCCGCCCGAAGCGTTCCGGATAGCATTTTTCCAACACTCTGCCTTTACGAGAGCTATAGCGTTCGCTTGAGAAGTCCCACATCGAGGAAATCCAGCTTTGAGGAAGGCGAGGCTGTGGTATATAAAGAAACCGAAGAGACACGTTTATAGCATCTTTGCGCTTGGGGCAATGACGCAGCTAGTGAGGTTCTAACCGAGGCGCGTCTATTGCTGGTTGAAAACTATTTCCAAACCCCCTCTTAGGCCTGGGTTTGGCCCAGGCCTTTGAGAATTTCTGGAAGGGCTCCCTCCGGGGTAAAGCCCTGCAATGCTAGTTTTTGATCTTTTTGCTTCTGTATTTTGTTGGGTTCGAGTTCCTGTTCAATACCCCTGTGTTGTGTGTATTGGTACGAGATCGAGTGCTCCGTCTCCATTTTGACTGATTGGTATTCAGGGAAGTAAATATTACTTGAATTGTTTGGGGATTCTCGTGCGTCATTGAGATGCATGCCTTTGTTCAGCTTGGCAATTCATAAATGGAGTAGATACTTCGTGAGACATAAATTTTCTGTTTGTGCTGGGAGAGATATGTTAACCCTTTGAAAAGTATTCGGCTTACATTTTGATACTGGAAAGGGTAGAACCTAGCAGAGAGCTGATGCAGATAATGCTGTCGGCATTTTCAGTGATTACATTGGCAAGTACTTATCGCCATCTTCTTATTAAATGGTTGGATCCAAGTGAGGTTGAAAAGCATCCGAAGTCCCAGCAAGGTTTGAAGGTAAATTCAAAGAGGTAATTCCACCAAGACTCTTGTTGGCGCTGGTGTGGTGATGTTCCATTGAGCTTAATCCAGTGCTTTGACGCTGTCTGGGATTTCTGTATTATTTTCCTCCCCTGCCACCCCTAATCTATATCCAAAGAATCCCGATTTTTCTTTGCTTTAGATATCTGATATTTCTAGTAGCCTGTTTTTATATGTTCTTTTGCGGTTCCAACTTTACCTTTTATTGCTATCCTTTGTATATTGCACACTACTCTCGAATTTGATCATTTCCATCATCCGGAAGTGGATCCTCTCCTCCGCTAAACCCTCATGGAACAGAGAAAGAAATATGTACCTTAGTATTGTATATAAATATCTGCACCTCTTTTTATTTTATGGCGCTATCTCGTGCCTCTGAAGTGTCTACGCTAAATTTATACGCTATAGACTGCTAGACGAAGAGGATGTCCTATCCCATGAAGTGTTGATTTTTGCTTGACACGCAATTTCTTCGCGCATTCGAAAGCCTTGGCAAGAAAGATGTCGAGCTCGAGGCGGGTACACAGTCTCCTGGTTGAAACGCGAGGAAAAGCTTCTGCACTTAGAAGCAAGGATAGCACAGTACTTCTACCAGACTTCTTTTTAAGGAAAATCAACTTCCATTAGAATAAAAAGGATCACAGTGCAACTACACATGATTACAATACATCTCTGTGGTAAAGAACCAAATGTGGAAAGCAGTACTCATGCCACACATGAATAAGAAAGGTGGCAAAGTGAAAAGGAGTTTGCAAATGGTTTTGTTAATGTCATTTTTACAGCTTGATCAAGCAAAAAGAACTATTTACAATGCCTATTGCGATGTGTTTCATGTTCTACGGGTCTTCATTCTTCAGAGCCCTCAAAACAGGATCACTCTCTTCATCAAGCAAATTGTCGTCGTCATCTAGCTCTTCTTCCAACTCGTCTAAAAGTGATTGGTTAATCCTCTTCCGAGACTGCCTCCTATGCTTCTTGGGTTCTAGTCGTGGTTCTGCTTTCTGGACACCCATGTCTCCCACCTTGTACCTGCAAAAGAAATCACGGGCCAAATAGAAGTTACTTACTACGCATCACCCGGAAAAGAAAATCATACCAAATTATAATCTCTGTTGGTATAGAGGTACTTCCAAAAAGGATTTTGGAATGAGGCCATTCACCACATCCCCAAGAAAAAATATGAATCCAGGAATTTTACCATACCTTATATCTCCTTCTCTTTTTGTTCCAAATGTCCTTAGCTGGAACTCTTCTCTGATTCTAATTTCATCAACAAGTTGAAAATAGTATTGGTATCTTTCCCAGTCCCCTTTCACGATGCATCCAGGTTCACCAAGATGCAAGCAATTGTTGAATGAACATTTTGCAGGCTCATTGGCACTAAGCATTTTCCGAATCTGAAAGAAAAAGAAAGAAGATGCTGTCAGCTTAGACAGGGAAACGAAGCCAACACTGAGGTGCGTCAAATATTAAATAAACACAACACAGACTTCCGGAAAAGTTTGGGCAAGTGATTGCTTTGTCACTTTCAATAAGCTAGGCTGGTTAAATCCAGGAGTATCGGCGATAAAACCCCCTCCAGATAACGGAAGCAGAGAAACATTGCGAGTTGTATGCCTTCCTCTGCCACTTCTTGTTGAAACCTCCCCAACACGCTGACTTTCAAACAACTTGCTGCCTAAAATCTGAAAACAGTACACATACACAAGTAATACAAGTAACAAACTCCAACAAAAGGTAGAAAATACTAACAAAAACAAGATCTAAAGAGACAAAACATACAGGTTCAAACCAATTATCCTCGTCTGTACCATTCGAAACAGGATTGTTCTTGCTTCTAAGAGCATTGATCAAACTAGACTTCCCAACACCGCTTGGACCCACAATTACGGTTGTTAGATCCCTTAACTTGAATGCAAGAAGATCAATCCCATGTCCGGATTCGACACTGCAAAATAGTGGTTCATAACCCCAGCTGCGTAGCCTAGACTTCCATGAACCCAGAGTCTACATATTTTATTAAAAAACATGTTATCGAGAAACTTGAAAAACTGAAGACGAGTCAAAGCCATTAAGAAGTGAATCATAGCTGGGCTGCAATTTAAATAAACCAATGGATAAAGGATGGCTAAAGCACTAATTCCATAACAGTTCAAGAAACTCACTTCCAAATTCCAATCCACTACCATTTAGTAATTAGGCAGTAGGAACAAACTTCCGCCATGCTTTTTAACAAAAATTGGCGGTTGAGCTAAAAGTGAAATGTTAGAGCATATGTATCACCTAGCCTACCTTTTTTATTTTCATCTCGGTCACCTAATCTTCCTCAGACTTGTGATTACTGGACATTAAAAAAAACCTAGATAATGCGGAAAAATTTATTTCACTTCAGCCTTCAACACTAAAAGAATTCTGATTGAAATGATCGTCCAAATGGTAAGAAAAACATAGATTCGAATTTTCTAGAAAGACTAATCACGAAGATGAAGTTAAGGATAACATCTAACAAATGCGTACTTAACCTCTTTATCCACAAGCTCAGTCTTGTTCAGTGCTAGCGTGACAGGTAACCCAGTTGACTCAGCTTCCACCAGAAAGCGAGTGAGTGAAAACGGCTCAAGCTTAGGTTGTTCAAGCGAGAAAAACACCAGCAAATGGTCCACATTAGCAACCGGAGGATCAAGTATCTCAGAATTTCTCTCGAACACATTTTCAATCATGCCCCTTCGGTCCACCCAGTCAATAGAACCTACCAGCACCTTATCACCAACCATCACCCTTCTCTTTATCTTCTTCAACAAATTCCTCACAAAACATAGCAGCTCAATTCGAGCAGATGAAGAAGATTGTTCAAGACCCTCATCGGAAGCTTCCGATGAGGGGAGAGATGGGACGATGACGCGCATAATGTTGGCATGAGAAGCGGCCACTAGACCGATGGCCTGGGATTCAGAGAGAGGGGGATGGTCATCTCGGGAGAGAACAGGAGCTAGAGAGGAATAGTCCTTGAACCTTTCTTTAGCTTTGAGAAGATTCTTGTTAGGTGCCTGTCTTTCCTGCAGCCTCTTGGAGACATTGTTAGGGTTTCGCTGCCTGGCAGCAATCGAGAAGCGGCGGATAATGTTGCTAAAGACTGGAAGCGGGGCGGCGGCGGCGGCCACCGCGCGGTGGCGCAGTATGAGGGAAGATCCAAACGACATGAGGAAAAAAGAACTAGTTTGGGAACTTTAAAAGCCTATTTCCTACTACAGAAACAGAATCAAGAACTCAATCTACGATCGATCTTTAAAGGCGATGTATGAAGTTGTAGAGTGGGTAGTAACATCCAGTTGCTTCTTCTGAAATCCACTTTTGTTTTCAGCTCTCTCCCACCGGAATACCAAATCCGGAAGGCGATCAGCCAGCCCATGCGACGGTTCGTTTAAGCCTTTAGGGGGTCCCTCAAACTAAACGACACTTTGTTGGCCACACTAAACGACGTCTTAACTGCAACAGTTGTCCACGACCCTGACTGCGGCAATGGCAAACGACGGATTTGGGCCTTAAACGACCTAACATAAAATTGGGCTGTGGGGAAGGGGGCTAGAGCCGCTCAATCCGCCAAGCTGCTACAAGGTGACAGGTTAGATTAAAAAAAAATAAAGAACCATTTTGATGTGGTTTTTTTTCAACTCGCAACCCTCCAACTTATGGGTCAACCCGCCAGCCCTTTTTTTTCACTATTTTTATTTTTATTTTAATAAAAATTTTTTTGTCATTTTCATTTAATTTACATGAAAATTTGTATTTTGTTAGAGATTTTGATTCTAAATTTGATTTCTCATTTTTTTATTTTTTATACTAATAAAATAATTATTAAAAATAAATTATATATTTATATTTCAACTTTTGAGATTAATTTAATCATATAATTATTTAAAAATATAAGAATAAGAAGAATTTGATCTATAAAAATTTATAATTTAATTTAAAAAAATTTTATAAAAAGGACAGAGGTTGGCGGGGCGAGTTGGCAAAATGGGAGCCAGTCAGGAAGCGGTCTTTTTAGGATCAACCCGCATGGTCTCGAGCCTGTGGCAGGCTAGCCTGCACCTCTATTGGGGATAGAGGAAGTGGTCTGTTTTCTTTTCTTTTTTTTTTTTTTACCGTCAGAAAGTGGTCTATTACAAACGCCTAAATTTGATATGCGGACTGAGATGAATTAGTATTTTTCATTTATAATAAAATTGTACTTATTTTAATTCTTTTTATGAATTGGTATCGTTTTGTGTCTCTTGGATTGTTTATGACTTTATGATGTGCTCGTAATCATTATAATTTGTTACAAGTATGACATCAGTGTTAGTGTTTGGGGAAATGTAATGTGCGAGGGAGAAAATTTGCACACAAAGCAGTTCTTTTTCACAAGGGCATGAGGATTGAGGACTAGTCGATTGATTATAATTTCCCAAGAATACACAACAGTCATCGCTTTCGCTTATCCCTCTCAAAAAACTGGGCTACTAAATGGGCCAAGTGCTTTTAAGCGGGCCATGGAAAGACAAATGAGGCCCAGTGCGCGGACTGAGTCTCCTGAAAAGAGAATTTGTAATACTAAAAAGAATTGGGTCTGACAGAAAAAATTAGTCACTCACGATACAGTAAATTAAGGTTTGAATTTTTGTTAGGAGAGGTATTCACATTTAGTACCGAAATTACCTTAAATGAGAATTTTCTTTAATAAAAGGATACATATACTTTGAAAAAAATAATTGCATTTGTTTTAAAAAAAAAAAAATAGTGGTATTTGCAAATTGCAATTGTAATTTTATTGTAATAAATGCCTCAAACTAAACTGATTCAATTCGCAGGAGTCTTATAGTCCATCATCAAATGGCCCAAGCCAATCCTCCAGATAACGAGTTGCTTTGCTCCATCCTAAATACTGTAAATTAAGATCATGATAAAAAATAAAAAAAGACAACAAGGACAGCATTTATTTTCTTATTTTCTTACATTTTTTATACAATTATTTAATACTTTTTTGGTCCTTAATATAAAACCTATTTAACTAATTTGATCAGATTAACAAAGTTATATAAGTTAGTTAATTATAAGAAAAGTGACACATTTTTCCTAAAACACCATAATCATCTTTCTTAATACTCCCCCTCCTTCTTCTACTTGATTATAGTTGAAGAAGTATCTAAAAGAATTATTTAGAAAAAATTAATAAATATAAAAATAGATTTTATATTTAGGATCAAAACCAACTCAATAATTGAATTCTATATTAAAAATCGGAAGAATATTAAATATTATTATCTCAAATTTGATTATGTTAAAAGATGGAACGGCCGTGGACTCCGCCGTTAATCTTCAATCAGCAAAATTAAGGAACAAAGGAAGCATTGAATGTACGTTCTGAAGCTAGAGTATCATGATAAGACTTTGTCGGCCACCGAATCTACTCTTTCGTACTATTCTCTGTTCTTAATATAAAAATTTAGGGAAAATTCCAGAAAAGGTCCCTCGAATATATGAAATCCCAAATTGGGTCCTAGAATTTCCAAAATGACAGAAAGGGTCAGTGACCCAATCTGTCATTTTTGAAATTAAGATCATTGACAATTTACCCCTGACTAAGTGAGTAGTTATTCTCTATACAAATTCTAGGTAACGCTTACACTGTTCTAGTGATTACAAGATTAGTTGTAGTTAATAATTACAAGATTAGTTACTTAATAATAAGGTGCCTGACTATGAAAAAGTGAATAGTTATTCTCTACACGAATCTAGGTAATACTTACATTTTCTAGTGATTACAATTAGTTGTAGTTAATAACAAGACACCTAAATATGAAAAAACGAGTAGTTATTCGCTACATGAATCTAGGTAATGCTTAAACCCTTATAGTGATTTCTTAAATCATTGTAGTGAATGAATATAATGAGGGCAAAAATTGTCAATTCCTCTTGATTTGCAAAATGACAGATTGGGTTACTGACCCTTTCTGTCATTTTGGAAATTCCAGGACCCAATCTGGGATTTCATATATTCGAGGGACCTTTTCTGGAATTTTCCCAAAAATTTATCTTATTTTTATTTTGATTTTTAAAATAGTCATTATAATAATAGTAATTTTAACAGAAAAATAATATCTATTTATTACAAATAACTAATTTAAATAATTTTTTTAATCTCCTCAAATTAGTTAACTAGCTCTTATATTAAAGATTGGAGATAGTATTTTATATATTACTTCCAGTACTTAATATAAGAGCTAGTTTGACTTTCAATTTAGTCATAAATATAAGATCTCAATTTATTTTATCTTTATATTTATCGATTTTTTCACAGTAGTTCTTATAGTAGTTGCACATATTAAAAATTCAATTAAATAGTAATTCAAACTAATACATATAATTAACAATAGTATTTTAGAGAAGACAACATATATTTATTATAAATAACTAACTTAAGGACCGGAAATAGTATAAAATATAGAATTTAAAAAATTAATTATTTATAAAAAAAATATGTTGGTTTTCACGAAATACTCTTTTAATACTAATTTGTATTTATCAGATTTATGGGAATTTTTTTAATATATGAAATTAATCATGATAATTTTAAATAAATTATAAACTTATGAGATAAAATAATTTTTTAAGAAATAAAATAAATTGAAATCTTACGTATGATATCAGAATAAATTCCTCAATTTGATCTTTATATTTAAAATAGCAAATGCGTATGTGTATAGTACACCACTGGTTTTAGCTTCAGCGTGAATGCTGCTCGGAGCAGTCAGAAAATTGCTTAATCTGGTTTGACAGGATATCTCCCTTTTTTTTTTTTGGGGGGGGGGTGATTAATTAATTATTATACTCTTTTAATCTTTAATATAAAATTTATTTAACTAATTTGATTAGATTGAGAAAGCTAGGTAAATTAGTTAATTATAAGAAATATGACATGTTTTTCCCAATACACTATAATTACTTTCTTAATATCCTCTTTCTCTTTTCACTTGATTATAGTTGGTGAAGTATTTATAAGGATAATTTAAAAAAATTGATAAACTATAAGAAACAGGATTATATTTAATATTTAAGATAAAAATTAATTTAATAATTAGGTGGGTATTAAATTATTAATATGGTACCAGTGTCCCGGGTCTAATGTCTTCGAGAGTGGGCATCATTAGAAATGGGAAATTCTGTGCGTTTATGCCATCCTCACCAAACGATGATCATCTTTAAGAATGTATGTTTGGCATGCAATAGGATGTGGGCACGTGGCTCTGAACCCATCTTTGACCGTGCGGCACGCGCCTTTTCGGTCTTCCCATCTTCTTCTTTAATTGTTTATCGCCTTGCAGGGAAATTTGGGGTGGGTGATATGCGATGATGTGATATAGAATAAATAAATAAATATTGGATATGGCATCAGATATATTTATGCTACGTTTGGTATGTTGGAATTGGGCCTAAAGAATTGGAAGTGGAAGTGGAATCCAAATTTAACCTGTTTGGTGTGTGTGAAGTGGGTTCCTGGTGGAAGTGGGTTCCATCAAATTTGATGGAACTCGGTTCCTTGGCTATCTCCATGGAACTGAGATGAGTTCTCAGAACTGAAATTTTATGACCATTTTATCCTCTATTGTTTTATTAATTGACAAACTTACCCATCATAATATAACCGCACCTTTCTTATCCTCCCATGACCGACGGCCACCTTTTCACCCATCCTCCCCTCCGATGTCTTCCTCCGGCATCTACTTCCAGCGGTCATGGCCTTCCCCTCCAGCATCCCCTTTAATCTCTTTTTTTTTTTTTTTGCATTCCTCCATGGCTTCTCCTCCACCAGATCTCACTTCTTGTCACTGATCTCGTATACTCCCTCGTTGCTATAGCGGAAGCACGAGCTCAGGTCATTTCCCTTCGATCTCGTCTTCTCCCTTCGGTCTCGTGCTCATGTCGTCTTCTCCCTTCAGTTTTGTTGTCAATGTCCTTCACTTCTCTTCTCGTCCAGTAATGTGAACCCAGATTTGATGCCTCATCTCCACTACAGATCTTCGTTGTGGCAGCTTGTCAATTTGTGACTATAATGAACTTGGTCCCTCTCCGTATACTCCTACTCCTTCTCCACTAGTTTGGCCGAAGCTCATCACAGACAAAGGTCATAATTTCTGAGCAATTGCTCTGTGTTGTTTTGATGCTGCGATGCTTTGAATATAGGATTAGTTTTTGTAGTTCTTGACAAATCTGGGTTTGATTGAGAAGAACTGAGATTGATTTTCTGATGAATGAGTTTGTTTTCAATTTGATTGGTCATTAGTTTGACTTTGCTGGTCAGTAGAAAATTTTCCGACAATGCTCCTTTGGACGCTGGTCGTGGATGAAGGAGAGGTGAAAAGATATTTTTGGAGG